GATCTTGGGGACATGGGGCATCCTGCTGACATAGTGCCAAGCCACCTTGGGGGAAACCCGGAGACTTCGAGGGTGAACCTCCAAGACATTGAGCATAGGTACCGGCTATATGAAGAGAAACGTCGCAGCACCGTTCTATTCAAGCCTTCAGAAAAGTTTGCCACGGCCTCAAAACACAATTGACAATTGCCTCTCACCCATGGAAACTCATCACTTTATTCACCACCCCACATTGAACTGTTGCAGGTCTTGGACAAATCAATGGAGAAGGACACCCTGAAGCTTCCGGTAGCTGCTTTGAAGCCCCCTCCACAGAACTTATGAGCAGTTTTTAGTAAGCAGTTTACATGTGAGCAGTTTATATCATGTCAGGGCTGTTATTGGGCGTTTTGCTTGGTCATTGTCATTGCGTGAGGTTTCAGATGCCACCGGATATAATGCCTTGCGCCAGGGATTGGATCACATGCTGGGAATCCATGATCACAGCAGGAATCGACCTGGGACGAGAGCCCATCAGTGTAAACGTCCCATACTCAAGACCTGTCTTCAAAGCAAGTGGTGTGCGGCTGTTGTGTTGATTTGTGCTTTACCATTCACCCGCCCTTTTCCTAGGTTCCTTTCCCAGATGGTTGTGAATCCTTTTCCAAATTGAACAGATCAGAAGCAGTGAAATGTATTGATGGCAGTTTGGGTTTATCATCCATCGCTGTGTACATGGGTTTAAGGTCCGAACATGACCCTATGCAACGCGAACTTGGACGTCATCAAAGGAATCACCAAAGCAAGCTGCATTTGCTGGGTGCTGATGGCTCTTTGCGAAGTCGGTTTGGACAGTGAATCGTTCATTCCTTTCCTGGACAAGTGTTGGCTACTTCCAATGCACCTCAGCATTGACCAGTCCGCCACGGACATATCGTTGATGAACATTACTTTGAGCTACCGCGATTCTGAACGACAATGTCCATCCGTTTTGAGTCTGGCCCTTCAATTCAGTCACATCATGAGCTTGAAGGCCAGCCAGGGGCTTCACGACAAGGCCATGAACACTGAACAACGCCTGAGGGCCGTTGTGGACGAACTAGAGTCCTCACCAGGCTTCATTGCGAAATGGTCTGTGAACAACGAGAAGTTCCGGGCGATCCACAGCATACTAGTCGGAACTTCGGCCAAGAGCAGACAGGTGATTCAAGGGCACCTACATGTCCACAAACGGGCATTTTCTGCGTTTTCTTCGGACTTACTCCGGAGTTGTCGCTGGCTCAGAAGACCGTTCTCACCATGACAGAGGAGTCATAAGTGTGGTTTTTTGCAGAACCAAGTTTCAACTTTTCGCCAAGACACCCGAAAGGGCAAATTGCGGCCTTCGCTACAGGCCTGGGGCCGGGCTGCGGACTACACCTGCATCATTTATGAGGTCGTCAGGCAGGCGAAGGGTTCACTCCAACGATGAAGCAAAGTCCAAAGCGGCGCAACACCAATTGTGGACCGCTTTCATGGCCAGGTGGGGTTGGCTTGATGGGGGCTCACCCCCCAAACCATCTCACCCCAGCCCCTCCCTCAAAACAAACCCGTCCCAGCAGATGGTCTGATGAGCTTTAACAGCCCTGGAACCCCACGCTAAAAGAGGTCCGATAATTCACAAATTTGGTCCATTGGTGCGTTATATTTTTTCCCTCGTTTACGCCAGGGACTACTACCAGGAAGTGCTCAGCTGTGTCGATGTGGCCTTGGGGAATTGGTGTGGACTGAGATTGTGGAGGTCGACAAGATTACCATGGGCACGGAGGAGATCTCAGAGTTCGATTTGGAAGCTGCAGAGGAAGCTACAACGGCTGCAAAGTACCAAGAGATCCGTTCCAAAATTGCGTGGCCCAGTTGCAAACCACAGTCATATTACATGTTTCAAGGGCTTTGTCTACTTATGTCTACTTGAAAGGGTAATCCAACTAATATGTTTGTTACAATATGGAAGGGTAGGTATGCCACGGTATGCCATATATTGAGTAATTCACACACCTGGTTTGACTTTATCTCAGGATCGTGGAAAAATACATGGAGAAGGCGTGCAACATCAACTTGGTGTCCGATATGTCCTCGATCTCAAAAACTTGGACGCCTGGTTGAGGCAATCAGCAATGGATCTAAAGGCTGGGCAGGCCAACCATATACAGTAGGTCAAGATCCCCGTTAACATTCCAAGGAGACCTTGTGCAAAACATTTTGTAGATATAAATCTGCGGGCACAAAACTTGAGTCTATAGAAAGGGCGGGGGTCAAGACACTCAGGCTCTATACATGTTCTCTCAATTGCCTTGCAGCTCCTTAACCATAGTGATTTTTACAAAATGCAGGGTGTCTAATTTAGTGCCCGCATAGGTTCTCTACAAAAAATCGCCCGTATACGGGGCGTACGCCCACCCATTTCATAGAGGAAATGTCGACGGGGATAGGTCAAGGGTGTATAGTAACGTCGGTTGTTCTTACAACCTGTCTTCACACACCCCAACAGTCCGTCCACTTTCCCTGCCAGGTCAGGCCAGAAGACCTTGAAGTCATTGTAGTCACGAACTACAACAAATTAAAAATTCTACAGGTCCCTATACTAAATAAACATTCCTCGCTTATGGCCAAGTGCATAGACCGCAACCAGAAAAGTGACTCTTCTGCGAACACGCTTTCCTTTTTTGAGTTTAAAAACTTCGAAACTACCCTGCTCGGTTTGAAGCAGCTGGCCTCTCATCTTTCCTCAAGATCCTCTGCTCGTTGAGCCAACCAACAACGGGGCCAGGACCAACCCAACAGAGCATAGAAGGGTCCATCGGGAAAAAACACACCGTAACATAAACCAAAAACACGAACCAACACCGTAACAAGGGAAAAAAAGGAAAGCGTGTTCGCAGAAGAGTCACTTTTCTGGTTGCGGTCTATGCACTTGGCCATAAGCGAAAAATGCTTTTTCAACATAAAAACCTACAGAACTCCCAACTTACTATAGTCCGATGTCTATCCATTGGTACCGACCAAAGGCAGTTGCATCGCAACACTGGCCGACCGGCCTACTTCCGTGAGTGACTGGCGGTAACTGACAGCATGTTGCCGCCAAAAGGAGCGGGCCACAGGGCTACTAGGTCAGAAGACCCCAAAGAGATGTACGCGGCTGTGGTGAATGACTTCACCAGCAGTGATTGATGGCGATGTCAGGGCTTGACTGAGGCCTTGCCCCGGCTTTGTCAGAGGCATCTTTTCATCTACCAGCGAGCAAGAGCTACCTTCAATCCAATGATACGCGCAAAAACATGACTGATCTTCAGGAGACGTCACGATGGCTCGCTGGGGAAGACACATGAAAGAAGATCCTAGAGAGTTTGCTGAGCAGCAGCTTTGACTCGATTAGCTGTTCAAATCTTTTTCCCTTAAAACCTACGTAACTTTTGATGGTTAATAATAGTTTTTTGGTGCTAGAACTTATTCTTTGTTTTTTGCCTGGCAGCCAGGTGGTGGCAAACAAAAGCGTGCGGTGGTGATTCTCACACAAATGTGTATTGCGGATCGCTGGAGCGAGCTTGCTTGTCGATGTGTATTCCATGCCTTGCCCTGACGGACTCACCGAATAACCACAACTACGCCATTACGACCACCGGCGCCAAGTTGATCGAGGACAACGTTGAAACTCCTAGACATATAACTTTACTATTTTCTTGACCCTTAGTCCCTTTGTGCAAACAGCTGTCTTTTTAAATCTGGGGTGACCGGTTCATTCACCCTTTGGCAAGTAGTGTTCTTCCAGTCATGTTCAACAAAGTCAGGACTGGTGATCTGGAACTGGCGTAGTTGGAAAGCTCACCCCGAAATACAAAGCCAACCCGGAAGATGACAACCCGGTTGTGGCCGAGCCACCTGCTCTGGCAATTTGCCTAAGCAGTGATGATACCTTGAGCATTCCACCAGCCATTCGTACCGAGTGTTTGGGAGACCCCCATCACGCACCAGAATGGAGGCGGCTTCTTGAGGAGTTTGATGCAAAGTGGAATGATTGCCCAAATGCCAATCAAAGCCCTTCCCGGCCCGTAGAGAACTCAGACAGGTGATGGTGCGGCTGACCAACCTGCGATTGCGCAGCCCGGAGACTGGGACCAGATCTTTTCTGGGGAGCCTACAACCAAGGCAGACTTGGAGAAGATTGGATCTCCAGCTCATTCATTCACTGTTTCCTCCACCTGTGTGGGTCAAATCTATGAAGGACCTAAACTCTTCTTGGTGAGCAGTGGGGAAACCGAGTTGACTCGCGACGAAGCGATCTTGCGCTTTGGTGCGGGGACTTGGCTCTTGATGCAAAAGCAAGCGCTTATGCTCAGGAGATGTGGGGGGCCTTGTGTGGGGATACTGTAGCTCTTGAGAAGTGATATTTAAGGGCAGAGTGTTGAATGGTAAAGAAGCCAACTCGCCAACTGTGGTTCCTACATGTTTGTTCAGTCTTGTTTACAAGCCGCCCACGCAGGAGAACCCAGGCAAAGGTTTCTCTTTATGCTGGAATCTGATATGGACCTGTGCGTCCTTGAGGACCGTGAACATGGATGTTTTAAAACTATGACTGTCGCTTTGCTTTATTGTGGCCCACCCAAACCCTAACCCCCCTCTAGATTTCGACAACACACCACCCTTGCCTCCAGGACAGCTCTTGCCAGGATGGCATCTTGCTTCCGCTGAGGAAGGTCCTGCCGGAAGTGGAGATCACTGGGCTTGTGGAGTTTGAGTTGACCATGTCCGCCCTGCCGGAGTGGCTCAGGGGACTGAGCCTGATGATAGGTGAGAGGTTTGTTTATCCAATTATGACTCATGACAGTTGTTCAGTACCCATTCCCAATTTACAAACACGTTCTTCACGCCCGATTCCCTTCAGATTTGAGATCAGCCGAAAGATGGGACATCGATGCTGTGGAAGCCTTCCAACGTGCAGCTTCGCATGTCAAGCAAAAGAATGCCGGCTCCTACTTTTGACGCTAAGCACATCCAGTCTTCCAAAGCACTTCAACAGGCCTGCACGCTTTCAGTCCAACCCCAAAACTGCTACAAAACCAACATGTTGTTTTCCATGTTTCTCCTAATGGCCATGTGTTTTTAGCCCCTGCAAGGTGTGGCGGCTGAGGGTGTGCAGGAATGAGAAGATGCTAGGAGCGGCAAAGCCGCTGCTCTTTTGAGCACCAACTTGAACCTGGCACAAGACAAGTGCCAACGCATTTTGTAGGTTTTGACCCCAGGGAGGGGGCCTTTAGTCGTCTAGGATACTCACCAAATCTCACCAACCATATTATTTAGCTTACTTGTTCTGATTGTCGTGGTTCCACTAGCTGCTGAGGGTCAAAGTTCAAAACAAAGAATTGTGGTGCAGGGGGTGCGAGCATCGAAGCGGCGTTGGCCAAATCCGGGCTGAGAGAAAGACTGATGTCGGGACGGTCGGCTTCAATCTACTATCCAATTGCATTGATTCTGGTTTCAGCCCCTCAACATAAAATCAATGCGCCAAACCCAGTCTAGCGCATTGAAAACCTAGGGTTTTGAAGCCCCTGCATTGATTTTGTTCTTGAGTTCGCAAAGGCAAAACATTGCACCCCCCCAAAACCATTGGTTTTCAATGCACCAAACCTGGTTTGGCGCATTGATTTTGTTTTGAGCTTCTCCAATGAGAATCAATGCACTCAGGTGGTTTGACGAATTTTCGCTGTCTCTCCAAACATCTGCATACCTTCAAAGTCAATGCACCATTCCCAATTTGGTACGTCGATTTTGTTTTGTTCAACCTACTGGGTACACCGATTTGTTGGTGTGACCAACCCTGGGTGCACCGATTTCTGGCTTCGTCCATCCTAGGGTACACCGACTTTTGGTGTCACCAACCCTGGGTACACCGATTTCTGGTATAGTGTACACCGACTTTTGGTGTCACCAACCCTGGAATGCATCGATTTTGTGAGTTTCATCCTACAAGACATGGATCTTCTTCAGTAGTAGGCCACATATGGCCAGGATACTTGCCAGGATTCATGAATTGTTCGTCAGCAACTCCCAGCCTAGCACGCCAGCCACAGGGTGGTGTGCTTGGAGAAGGGAACTCAATTATCTAGAAACTCTCACTCCTCAGCCTGTCCCGGACTGAAGGGCGGCCTTCCAGCGCAGCAGCTTCGGACTTGCAAGCGCCGGCAGGGCACCTTGGCACACGGGCGGATGAAGGCTTCAAGGAGGAACCCCGCTTCGCAAGACCTTTGAGTTCCAACCTCCGAGACTCCCCCATCTAAACAAAAGAAGACAGTAAAGATCGGTAAAGCCTCTCCATCCGCAAATCTGTTAAGGCCCGACGCATACTAAATCTCGACAGTAATGTACAGCATATGGTATGTGCATGTATGTTCAATTGGTAAAAAATGACTCATCCAAAAGTGTCCGGGGGCAACTTTTTCACAAGGGCAGCTGCAAGTGCTTGCAGAAACTAATTGGCAGCTGCTGTACCTGGACCTCCTGCCAGCGTCAAATTGACTAAGCCTTCGATAGCTCGATTCAATTCAAAGCTGGCACTCAGTTACTCGCTCCGCAGCCTCTCGCATGTTGGGCTCATCTGGATCCATAATCACGCTCCAACCTGAGCCCGCAGAGCCACCACCTTCTTCAACTTCTTCAGCAGAGTTGCCCGAGCTGTGAGCACATGCAATCGAGCACTGCTGCGTCCAATGCTCCCGAAGCCGGATCATAAGTTCCCCCTTGTGACTAGCAGAGGTGTCCAACCCATGCTTCTGGCAAAGGATTTTCAAGTCACTTTGGTTCTGTTTGTCATACCAGTGGTAGGTTCCATCACATGGACTGATCCACGAACAAACCTACGAAAAAAACACATGTTTCAGTTCTGTCACTGTCAGGCCGTCAAGGTTGGTGCGTATGTTCTCAGGCGCACTTGACAACAGAGCCTTGATCAACTCAACTTTAGTGGTTGGTATGTGAGGAGCCGTAGCCCGCTCCCGCATATGAGGAACCTTCTTCGACGACCAACAAACGCCGCGCTGGTCCATTGCCATGAGAACCAGAACTACTTGCAAGTCAAACTGTTGTCTACTTGACTGACCTCCTCACCGAAAGCCGGGTGCACACGTAGTACATTATGTACTTCGTCTTTGAGTGACTGAACAGTTGGAATTCCCCTAAAACTGTATCAAAAAGGCAAAGTAGCACCTTTCTTCACTGTCCCTGAGCTCCGAAGCTTCATCGTCCCTTAAGGACACGAACACATCAACACGTTATAGGTTGCGGACTCCACCAGACGCAGCCCTTAGGGGAGCGGAAGGTGCAAGTGCTGCCAAAAACGGTCGGGGGCAGTTTGTAAGTTGGTTCTAATTCGGATGGCTGTGTCCCAGCCAGAGAATGCCAAGGCAAAGCAGGAAGCTCAGCGCGCAGGTAGAAGTCGTTTTGTGACAAACGTGTTGAGTACTCCACACACTCCTCATACTCTGAGCCAGATTCCTCCTTCACAGCTGCTGCCAGCCCCGCGCACTGGTCTCGAAAATTGGCCGAGTAGTTGTTCGGATGCCTTGGACCACATGTTTGTCAACTTTTATTCGCATCCCATATCGCCCCACTAACAAAAGCATACTTACTGTGCAAAGTATTGTCACTCCTCCGTTGGCACTAGGTTTGCCACCTGATTTGACCGGCCAGCTGTCAACACCAAAAGGGGGCGTTGCGAAAGGGTTTGACTCGCGATGTACTGCTTTACAAGGATCACGACGTCATGAGGGTTGGGCGCAGCAGTCACGCTTCCCTGATCGATATTGCGTTGAAGTTGTTCTGGAACATCTTGCCAGGGAAGTGCTGTGAGAGCAGGCTAGACCTACACTAGAGCTTTACACTAGCGCTGTGTAAATTAATTCACGGTTGAAAACAACATACTAAATTAGATTTCAACTTGATGTGGGAGCCTCTATGCGTCATAGTCAGGAAGGTATGGTTGGCCTTGGCGTCCTCCAGTAAGCCACCGGCTAGACCCACTTTCTGTTCACAGCAATGGTTTCGCCGCGACCTGACTTTGTCCACCTTGACAACCTTGATGGCTGCATCAAGACCAATAAAGGAATGCACCCCGAGACGGTGACATCTTGAAGGATACGAAGGACAGAATTTGCAGACAAAATTAGGTCCGATGCCGCGACCCTCCTCGCATTATACCCCACGCTAGATCCAGTTTATCATGGGTATGAGATTTGCGAAGGTTCAGGAGGCCGGCCATCCTAAACTTGTACTTCTGGATCATGTTGAGGAAAGTACAAACTGATTTTTTGCCTCTATGACAGTATTGTCAGACACGAGAAGCAGGGTTGTAAGCATTTCCACACTCTGTCGATCACGCAGCACTTTAAGATCTTCCAATGTTTGCGCAACCATTTCGCAAATTGCTGAGCTGTCGTGATGTGTACATTCGTCGAGGAGAAACAGATTGAATGTGAAGCCTAATGTGGATAAAATACAACACAAAGATGTTTATTGAAGCTAACATAAAACACTATAACAAAAAGAAGGAAAGGAACAATTGCTGTGACAAAGGCGCCCATCGCCCAGCATCCGTGTACCTTGAAGGATGGTCTTTGGCGCTTACTCCTAGGCAAGTGAGCGTATGATGCGCGTCACGCGTCATGTGTGTACTGTGCACCTTTAAAGCAAAAGTCTATTCAGTTTTGCCTAAAGTCAATATCGCACTGGCTCGCAGTCCAGGGTTGCGAGGGATCGAAAATTTGTTCTGATCCGTACCATCCAAAAGGATCGTAAGCACAGTGCTGGATTTATCTTTCGACAAGCCCTGGAGTCCCCAGCAGGCACTGCGATCAGCGTATTGGTCTTGTAGGTGCCTTCTGTATGTTGAAACCGTTCCCAATTTGACATCTAAAGGCGCTTTGCTGCTCAACTGCTTCGTCAATTACAAGCAAACAGTGCAATGGGTGAACCTGAGTTGCTAGGAGCATACTAGCTGCAAATCATACTACCCAGTGTTGGGCGCTTTTAAAATTGATTTTCGCATCGCTTGGACAAGGGGCATCGAGCGCTGTCAAAACTTAAGAACGTCTTTCCAGCGCTCTTGGTACACCCGGAGAAATGTAGATTATCTCAGTATGTTTGTAGAGGTTTGCATTTATATACTGTCAGTTGTCGTGTCTCTTGCTCTCGCGCAAAAAAAGGGTGCGGCCAAGTGCACGAGCATGCCTTGGGCACAATGAGTGTTCTTGTTGCGGAATAGTGATGGTACAGGTCCTGGACTGTGCCAGGGGCATAAACTTGCACGTTTTCTTGTCGTCTTCTCCCTTCAGCAGCTGCCATTATGCTGGAGAGGACCCGCTCTTGGCGTTGAATTGTTGTCATCTTAGGAGAAGTGTCATTTGCAAGATGACTGTAGCGAAGCCTTCCTGACCCGTGTAAGTGGCAATGGAATGCACCTGCCGAGTGTTGGCACGACGCTGTTGACTCAGATCCTTTGCCTCGCTGACAAGAAGGGCGGAACGGGGCTTAAAGGAAGTATCATATTCAGTTGCCATCGTAGTTTTTATTTAGTTGGCCAGGGTGCAACACCCTCCATAATTTGCCGAAGCTCACCACCTTCAATCAATCTGGTAGAAAGAAAAGTTACGGTTTCTAGCTGCCAAGTTGTCCTGATCTTGCCGCGTCGTCTGCGCGTGCGTCGTCCGTGCACCGCAGGCCACCTGGCCTGATCCAGTCAGCAAAGTCAGCCAAGCGCCAACCTCAGAGTCACGGGATGTCACGGGTCCCAAGACACCTTGATTTCCGCTCAGCATTGCTGGCTCCTTGATCTCAAGATTGCATGGCAATCAACCACGGAGCACCACGTTATGTAAAAAAACACATGTTGAATCTGACTAGGCTTCTGTTCAGCAATTATCGATGAGTTTGATGCCATACCATACCTGTTTCATTGCATTCCGCTTTGCACGGCCATGCGGCCATTTGGTGCAGAGGGCCCTGAGAAATCTCAGCGCCAGACACCAAAGGGCGACTGCGAAGCGCTTGTTCCAGGAACCAGCTCAGCCAAGAAGATCAGTTCACGCCCCTTCGGACCTGAACCTGAGGAAGGGAACCGTCAGGCTAGTCAGTCTGTTAATGGAAGACTCGAAGAACCCAAATGCCATTTGGTGTAGAACTACCAGAAGCAGACTCCGAGACTGAAAGCTCTGCATCTGATGAAGCGAGCGCGCAACCATCAGTTTTCAACTTTGGGTGGCGCAACATCCACACAGCTGCAAGGGCAAGGTTCTCTTCAGAAGTTGCTGCTGGGCGGCCGGCAAAAAAGAAACGGCCGTATGAAAACAGCAGGTGGGCTGCTGAGGCGACATACACAAGGGCCTCCTCTTCAAAGACATACCTGCCGAATGGTGTTTATTACCCCCAACGCATCACGGGGGTGTTGTCAAAAGAAGAATGCAATTGCGCCTTGTATCAAATTGGGCTCGCAATAAAAAACTTTTGGTTTCTTTGTCTCTATGGTCTACCTATAAATACAACTTTATTGGGCAACCCAACCAGGCGCCAGGAAGTTGTGCTTCGGCCAATTTGACTTCAAGGAGCTCTCAAAATTCCTGGGTGAGTTTTGGTCAATGGGGAAATCTGACCAAGACTCTTTGGAATCTTGACACGTCTATAAACTTTTTGGTAAGAATCTGTTGGTGCGATCCGGCCATCTCCGCACACCGTCCCAAATGTTACTTTTGAACCCAAAACCAATTAGCCAAGATTCAGCAAGATGTGGAGGGCACCGGTACAAACATTCAATCGTGTCAGTTTCTCGGGAAAGAAGTCGGGCTGCGGTGCATGGCTACCTTGCTTGGTGTAGGCCAAGCCCGCTTGCGGTCATGTGCAACCAGCACTCCTGACCTACGCTTGGGATCCACACGGACGGGGGGCAAACAGAATACTTGGTCCATTGACGCTTTCTTCACAGTGATCTGCCGGCAAATTGCCGAGACTCTCCCAGATCGGTTGGGGTTGGATAAACAAGTTTTGCAAGCTTGTGACACTAGCGGGCGAAACATGTCTTTTAAGCTTCAGGGATCCAGAGTCAAGGCCAGAGTCAATGGCAGTTGTAAGTTCCTATGATTGCCCCAACAAAAACTTGCGACTTAGGAGCCGCTCGCCCTGCTGTGGCTGCTGGTCCCCATACCGGATACACGAAGGAGAAGAGCTTCTCCTTTCCCGCGTAGCACCGCTCCAGCGATTCCGACCTGGGGCGATGAGAGAGTGCTCTTTATGAGGTACACTAACCATGACAGGTTTCACAAAAGGAATTGAAGAAACATGGCAACATGTATACTACAGGGCAAGTCAGGACACCAAAGAAACCCAGCGCTTGTAGCAAATCACAGCGGCCACGTCCACGAGAAACCGCTTGGCTAAGGTCAAATACCGTCTTGTTTCCACCCTTGATGCGCCGGTAGTTGGCGAGGGATTTCTTCATGGACCTAGACCCACAAACATGCCCAAAAAAACACCTTAGAGCTTTAAGTTGGTGTGCAGACCTCGCACTAAGGGTATGACGGGCAGTGATTTTTTGGGGGCGGGCCCAAAAAGGGACTTGATCTCATCAGGGGTGGAGATGGCAAAAGCTGTCGCTGGCAAAACGGGCACTGAGTTCTTGTCTGCCAACAGGGTGTCGAGGATCTGTTGAAAGCTCCAGTCCTGGGAAGAAAGCACGGTCTATATGAATTTGGGACAGGACCTTGGTAAACGCACAGGTGTTAACTGAACCTTTTCAATCTCACTCGCGCGTGACTGGTCCAGCATCTCTGGGTCATAGCCATTCATAGCCAACAACATTTTCATGGGCGGACGATGTGGCTTTGTTCATCGCGGCGGTTGCGACAGAATGGACTTGAGCTCGAGCCGTGTCTTTGAAACACAAGCGCTTCCCCGGCCTGGGCTGATAGGTCCTAGAAACCAGCTGCTCCTCTCTCGTTCTAGTAACTAGTATACATATATATATATATATCTTCAAAAATACACATAACTGTTTAGGGATATTTTTGCTGCAGGAAAGTGACCGGGAGAACAAGGTGCATGGTGCTCCCAACCAAAGAAGAACCCTTAATGCGTAGCGGGCAAAGCCTGTCGTGGCCAGCCTTCGATTTGAACCTGATGTCCTTTGGGTCCAGCACCTTGTCCTTGTCAATGGTGTTCTTGATCAGACTGAGAATGTCGCCAAACAAACAGGTGTCCGGGTACATACTCTTCAGCCAACCTTGGCATTGGCAATCGATTTCAACCTTAGTTTTGTTTGCATGGGTGTTGGTTCGGGCCACCACCAATGTTCAAGAACCAAAACATAGATATATTTCACAGACTTGGCACTGCGCCCACGAACTTCAAACCGCATTCGACACCCCACAGCTCCATGGCAGCTTGGGATATGTGCTCCCAAGCTTTTCGGGCGCAATCCACCCGGCGAAGAGCGACAAAATCTACTGTTTGCGTCTCGCATCAGTATTGCCTCCCAAATAGTGCTACGCAACGGCGGAGCAAAGTGAATGCCCAAGTCCTCAGATCAGGTTCACATACAGTACCTCTAAGATGAGTCGAGGCAGAACTCTAACTATTTTCATATTCTAAAAAAGTAGTCAAAATCCTAACTATTAGTTAGAATTAGGAAATAGACTTTCAAGGCAACTAGCAAAATAGACTATAGTCTATTTAATACGATATTATTCCTGGGCGATTTGATTGAAAATGTATATGTTTTGCTTGTGTTTCAGCTTCTGAGCCCTCTGGTTGATCAGCACAACTATATGCTTCACCCCAAAGAAGCAAACTCAAAATGCACTGTTTTCAACCAACCAAGCTGGCCATTTGAAGTGCCATGTTCTTTGGTTTCCTCCTCCTCCCCCTCTTTGTCATCATCCAAGTTCTTGTCACTCTTGGTCTGCCATTCATTCAGCTTGCCTGTCAAGCTAGGCTATTTCTTTCCACCCTTCTGCACAGGATCTGGCTTAGTGCTGGGCTTCTTTGTGACTTTTGGCTTGCTCTTTGCTTTGGTTGTGCCCTTCGTTTTTCCTTTGCCCTGTCCTTTTTCTTTTGCTTTCTTTATTGGGCTCCCCTTTTCTGCTTCAACACTTTCTTCCTTTTCTTCTTCCTTTGTACTTGCTGCTCTACTCTCTGCGTCATCCTTGTCATTGGGTCGAGATCCTGTGACTTAGCAGGTGTGACATAAACAGTTGCACGAACTATACATTCACAAGTGTGACCTAGCAAGTGAACTACATTGAGTTACATCCACAAGTGTGAGCAACATTCCACAGGCTTTGACACAAACCATGTAGGGTAAAGCAGTTGATGTGGTCTGCAAACAACTTTCCAACATATTTGCACAATGCCGATTGGAATTACCTTGGGCTATTCAGAAGTTGTTCAAGGTTATTTAACTGAATAGCCCAGAACATAGGATATCAAATAGCACAGGAATCTTAACTATTAGTCTATTCTTGTTTCAACTAATAGTTAGGATTTAGGATATTAGAGAATAGTTAGAATTCTGCCTCGACTCATCTTAGAGGTACATGGATTGATTCTTGGCTGAGTTTTTCTCGAAACAGTGTTGTAAAGTATACATGTTATCACGCATGTTCTCCAAAAAAAGGTGTCGGCACTAAACTCCTTAGCGTCCCAATAACGCATCCAAGCCTCCCCAACTGCGCAGCAGTTTCGGGCGGCTGCAGAACCACTGTTTTAACAAACACAGAGGTCACAAAACACGGTGAGAAAGTTTAGTTGAGGCCAGGCGCTTGGGTGGACTCTGGGCAAGACTTTTGACAACCTTGACCTTTTTGCTGATGCTCGGCTTCTTCCTTGGTTGTGCACCAAGGGGTGATTGGTGAGGTCGGCTACGCAGGAGGAACGTAGTCAGGAGGAACATAATCGAAGATAAAAACCAAGAGTCTGAACGTAAGGTTTTCTCACCGGAGCAACCTTCTCAGTCAGGTTATTCTTCTCCTTCTGTCTGAGAAGAGTAGCCAAAGATTTTCCCATGGCTTGCCTATTCTGGCCACCTCTATCTAGCCCTTGCGCCAAAAAAACCTTCCAGTGCACAAGGTTCGCGCGGTCAAAACTAAATCACTCCAACCAGTTTCACACTCCATTCCCAGCCGTCCCAAGCTGGCCATTGGCAGGCCGCGGCAGTGGCAAGCTGCTGGCGGCAGCCGAAAAAAAGAATCCAAGCCTCAATCCTTGACCCAGATACCTCAAAACCAGACTCACTTGCCTTGACAATAACTTTTTTCCACTACAAACTTGCCACTTCATCAAGCCACAGCTCCCCGAGCTACATTTTTACCACAAAGTTGTCAGTTCTGAGGCCACAGCTCCGGGTCACTTCCGGCGCTACATGTCCACTACAAGGTTGCCAGTTGTGAGGCCACAACTCCGGGCCACTTCCCGCACTAGATTTCCACTACAAAGGTCAGTTCATCAAGCCACAGCTCCCCGAGTTACATTTGTACCACAAAGTTGCCAGTTCTGAGGCCACAGCTCCGGGACACTTCCCGCACTACATTTTCACTACAAAGTTGCCAGCTCATCAAGCCACAGCTCCCTGAGCTACATTTGTACAAGTACCACAAAGTTGCCAGTTCCGGGCCACTTCCCGCACTAGATTTGCACTATAAAGTTGACAGTTCTGGGGCGACAGCTCCCACAAGCTGCTGCCGGTACTACACTCGAACTACGTCCACCTTACTTTTCGAGAACAGTCGCGCACTTTGGCAATGCCCACCGTCGTTTTCGACGACAGTTGGAGGGCCACTCCGACGGCTCCTGTTCAATGGCGGAACCTGCTACCTATCAAATCTGCACGAGGACGCCAAAAAGCCAGCGATGCTGGAGAACTGAACAATCAATTGTTATAAAATTGTACATATACATACATATTTTTTGATTTGTATATATATATAGGGATATCACAATAATACACTATATATGATACAAGCTGAATGAATTCGTGTCCCAAATCTCAAAAATCTCCAAGAACATCCTTTCAGTGCATGAGAATGAGAAAATGTAGTCGCGCATGCGCTTCCAACCGCTCTCCAGTGGCGCTTGCAAACGGCACAACTACGTGCAGCATTTTTGAGCTTCCGACATACTTCCTTTCAATCTGGGATAGGTGACAACAATAGGCGCCAACAGCATTCTGGCTGCTTCCACTGCGCCATCCCGTGCCAGAACCGCAGCCGCTTTTCGTCTCGTGGAACCAGTAGCCCTTGTAGTCACTCATCCAACCATGTGCACACTTGGACCATCCTGCATTGTTAAAATGAGCTAGCTCAAAAGAACATCTGGCTTTTCCTCCTGTCGCTTGATGGCTTATTACAATTACTGACTCATCTCCGTGAAGCTGCCACCGACCAAGCCTTCCACTTCAGCTTTGCTGCAGAGCCCTTGATACCCCACCGACTGGCACTTGCCTGTGGCTGCTTCTCTGGTGGCATAGTCGTAACCACCAACCTCAGCTCCCAACCCCTGTCAACATAAGCAAAGCTAGTGTTGAGAAAAGGCGTGGCATTGCAGCTGCGTGCTAAGGGGTTCAAAAGGTCGATGGCGGCACTCGAGGAAATCGTTTTGAGGGATGATCAACCGAGAAGTGTACCAAGTTCGTGCGAAACCAGAGACGAAGGGTTACCATAGCCCTTGTTTTCCAAGAGCGGTTGAAAAGACCGCGCGCGATTCTGCGGGTTTTAGAGCCCAAATTTTCCCTGAAAGACAACCCGGTATCGTCGCGCGGACGAACCGTGACGAACCGGTCGTTGGCTCCCATGGCGGCAGCGTCGACGCCGCCAGAAGGGTTCAAAGAGGCCGCTGCTGAGCAGCTGGCGCTGGAGGACGCCAAGGACGCCCTGGTGGTGAGGAGCGAGAATGCAAAGGGACCCCAACCATGGGCCGATGAAGAGGGTAGAGAGGGAGGGGAAGGGCGAGGGCACTGGAATGAGGGCATGTGGTCGCCAGGCACCTTCATGGAGGTGCAGGAAGTGCTCAGGGCGGTGCTCTCCCAGAATGCCTGGCTGAAGAGATTCAGGAGTTGAAAACAAGGTGGAATCAGTAGATTCCAAGGAGGTGAAGGAGCCGAATCCAACACCACCAACGACTATACACCACCACCTTCACCCCCAAAGGGGCCACCACCGAAGACCCCAGAACAGCACTTCGAGAGTCAGGCATGGGTCGACTGAGAGCGCGATTTCGTTGGAAGCCTCACCACGAGAGACATGATCCTCTCTCATCTCTCGAGGAGCGTCGTCAAGGAGGTGGATCGCAAGCGGCTTCAAGTGGACGGCCAACTATATGACCCAGGGACCTATCACACCACCGCCAAAGGACGACACCGACAAAGAGCTGAAGACCTTTCGGGAAGGCCTGTATGCCAAGCAAGCGCACGGAGATCGCTTGATCCCATCCAAGGCACCACCAATGCCCACAAGCACCCACTGAACTCTTTGAGGTGGAGCGCCAACCAAGACGGTCAGCGTGCCCGCTGCACAGATTGCAACCTGAAGTCAGTGATCTACTGGACCGCCAAGCATGGTGCTATGATGGTGGTCTTAGCTCATGAGAACCTCCGGAGGATGTTCCCATCACAGCCAAGGTGTGGGTTCCTGAAGACCCAAATAGCTATACCCTGGAAACCATCAATGCAGGGGGGCCGGAGAAGACCCAGGTGCTTCCGAGCGACAAAGACGCCAGAAGGACAAGTCATCAAGAAGTTGAGTGGAAGTGGGTATGCGAGAATTGTTGGAAGGCGGACCAAAGCACATCGTCACTGAGTTCATTTGGAGTCCCATCAGGTGGAAGCCATGACAGCCGTCCCCAGGAGACTTCCACCGCACCTCCAAACTCCAGGCTTGGCCATCGCTGATTCGGGTTGCCGCAACTCAGTTGGCGGGCGTCTACGGCATGACTCTTTCCAAGAAGAGCTCAAGAGCATGGGTGTGCCATGGCAGAGCACCAAAAAGCATGAGGTCTATCGTCGATCGTTTTGGAGCTGGAGCACCAGTGGTGAGTCATGAAGCCTTCCTCTACCCAGTTCGCATCCATGGACACTGGGACATCGTGCGAATGTCGTGCGCGAAGGAGAGGCACTCAATTGCCCTGGCTTGATTGGACCATCGGAGCTGAGTAGGTGGCAAGCAGTGTTCAGGTTTGGAGAACGCCAAATGGAGCCCCATGGTGAAAGTCGCCCGATGATCCTGACCTGGTCCCAGGTACCCACGTGTGAAGCTTCTGGACTATGCTTCAGAGGAGGTGAATGAAGAAAAGGAGGTCTGGGCATCAAAAGAAGGGAAGAGAAGGAAGCTCGCGCTGGAGGAGAACCCGCGCTCACTTTCCTTTGTCACTGAGCATCCCCAGTCAGAAGAGGACAGTGAAGGGGGTGGAGCAAGAGACAGAAGAAGAAGAGCAAGATAGGCCATTCCGTGACCGCCGTTTGATCAGCTGCAGAATGACTTGGGTGTGCGGGTGATGGATGTGGCGGACATCCCAGAAGGCAGCTCGGAGGAAGATCAAGCCACCATTGTTGAAGAGGCAAACTCGTCCTCATCACATGAGGTGGGAGTAGAAGGTCACGACTGATTCAGAAGATGAAGCCCAAGGCGAAGAAGACGCTGCACAAAGAGAGGAAGAAGCATGGCCAGGAGGAAGGAAGAGGAAGATGAACAAGCAGTTGCACATCTCACTGGTTGCCGCAGCACGGCATTGCACCTTCCATGAGCCAGTGACATTGCCCAGGTGGGACCTCATGACCTCATGAAAGAGACCAACTACGCTGAAGCACTCCGGTACATCGCGCCAGATTTACTGGCCCTGGCTTGGCCGTGTGGGCCATGGAGCCCCTTACCGACCTTGGGAAGAAAGACTCCACTTCAAAGGGCCCAGCTGGCTCAGAAGAGAGAGGAGAATCCCGTTCTGCTGAGGTTCGTGAGAGATGCCAGCTTGCAACAAAGACAAAGAGGTGGTGCCCTTCTGGGAGAAAATCCAAAACCACCCCTTGCATGGAAAGAACCACTGATTGAAGAGGCCTTTGCAGGAATGCCAACTTATGCTAACTTCAACCTGCGACATGTGCATGTACGGCCTGCAACTTCCAGATGGGCCGGCTCTACGGAAAAGTACGCGATTGGAAGGGACAGCTGAAATCATTGCCCGATGCAACAAGATGTGCAATGGACAGCGTGAGCACACGCCCGTTGTGGGAGGAGCCCGCATCGACGGGGTCTACACCGCCAAGTTCGCCAAAGAAATGGTCCTGGGAGCAGAACAGTACCTCTCAGGACAAAGAAGAAGAGAAGTCTTCGCGGAAGGTGGAGAAGTCGCTGAGGAAGACTTGAAGAGTTCATGGAAGAATAAGAAGTGGAGGAGCAAGAAATGCAAGGCCTACAAGATGAGATAGGAGGAGGTGATGAGGAAAGGAAGTGCAGGCTGGAAAGTCGCCCAAGTGCACCAGCGACTTGGAAATCCAACAACAGCCACTTTGGTTCGGATGCAGAGCTTAGCAATATCGTTGACTTGGCCACCCGTTATAAGTTATAAGTGCCCGGTATGCACCACGGTGGCACCCCCTGACCGCTATCCAAAGGCGAACCCAAATCCAAGGCCGACCGCCTTTGGAAAAGAAGTCCACGTCGATCTCAAGTGCCTCCATGACCGTGGACAAAAGTTGCATGTGGCCCTGAGCATTGTCGATGCAGTTACCTCCTTTCATGTCGTGAACGAGTGAGTAAACAAGTGAGTGGCACGATAGAAGCCCCACCATATACATGCAGATGACCCGCACAAATCGAGAGCGCGCAAAAGCCGTATTGTTTCAGGAAAATGTCCTAACAAAAGTGTCAAGAATAGACACCATTGCTCTCGAACTGAAGTGTAAGCAACACTTGTCTCACGGATAAGTAGAACACGTTTCCTATCTAACACCCATTGTCCGCAGTGGGTTTCATCCTGCATTTGGTGCCGTGTCCAGCAAGACCATCGCCATCTTCAGCTTGTTTAAACCAAAATTTAAAATTATCCTGAACGCATGTAGTAGCTTCGAAACGCCACAATAAACGCCTGCTATTGTTTGCAATGAAAACTAACTCTGTACATCAACGGCGCCCAAAAAAATGCCAAGACACCAACACAAACCAATGAAGCATTACAGCACTTCGAGAGGACACTACCAATAATACCAAAGTGACTGTGTTCCTCTGATCAAACCCATCCGAAGCAATCAAAACCTCCAAAGATTCAGAAGACTTGAGGACTTGAGGGCAGTTTTTCCGCCCATACCTGGCCCGGACCAAATCCAAACCCATCAAAAACCTAAAAACACGTGGCAAATCAGGCAAGGCCTGCAAAAACATCGTGAGGATCCGCTCTGGGACCATTAATTATGTTTTACACCACGCCGCGCATCCCCATCCGTCTTAAGGCCACGCGGTTAGATTTCGTCACCAACCCCCGGCCTCAGTTGTGCCGTTCGAGTAGGCCCGAAAACTTCGAAGCTCTTGCAAGGCTTCACCGGCGTGGATTTTTTGTGTTTGGTTGGGGTGTATACTAACGTTGATTCGTTTCTTTGTTACGTCGGGATTCTCCATTAAATTCACTCATTCACTCACTCACTCATTCATTCAATCATTCACTCATTCAATCATTCACTCAATCACTCAGTCAGCCAGTCAGTCACTCACCCATTCACTCACTCAACACACTCATTCACTCACGCAATCTCACGCACTCACTCACGCACGCACGCACTCACTCAGTCACTCACGCACGCAGAACGCCACAAAACCAACACGGAACAACGTGAAATAGGATAGTCGACACAAAAGGACAAAATGGCCTAACAGTCTATATAACTATCTATACCTTTTGTCAGCTTTGTTTACTCCTATAAAGCTTGGAAACAACGCCAGCCCAGCGAAATTGGCGGCCGCCCTATGCAGCGGTCCAATGCAGCGCGACGGACGCGACGGACAATTCCGCACTCCTCCCATGCCGATTCGCGGGCGCGTGTGGAAACTGTCGAATCCGAAGCTGTCTCTTTCCACGGAGGCTCAGGAATGAAGTGAAGCCCTGGCAGTGCTTCGCCAATTGTTGCGGAAGTGTATCTCTCACAGTATCTCCAGGTGTGGAAGTCAAGCTTGCGTGGGAAGATCGAATCCGTCAACGAAAACATGCGCTGGCAACGCCAATTGGGGTTTTGAATGAAGCGCGTTTAAATTCAGGAGGAGTCTTAGTTCTTAACATTGTTCAACGACTATCCATCGTCACGACGCGCTTGATTCCTACTGCAAAATGCCGCGGGCGCAAACGAGCGCGGTCTTTGCCTTAGCAACTTGAGCCTACATGCGCAGGTCATGCGCACGTCTGGTGTCATGTTAAGACCCTGCCTTTCAAAGGCAGCTTTGTCAGAAAGTAACATTTGAACTCCTTCGGTGTTCACCATCTGGTGCACCTACTCAGTTCTCTGGCTCTGGCTCCTCTATTTCTTCTTCTTGCCGTTCAGGCACTTCTTCTTCTTCTTCAGCTCTTGGTGAGATTTCATCATCACCTTCACTTCTGCTTTCTCCTGGCGATCTATCGCCTTCACGTTCATCTGGTGGTAATGGTGGTCCATAGTGTGCCGCCACCCAACCATCTGGGCATTCACTTTCTCCCATTGGTATGTCCATCGGCTCATCTCGTCTTCGAACGTGGAACATGTATTGCCTCAGGCATCTCAAGTGATTTATCACCATTTTCCTTCCTTCTGGACCGCGGGCAGGTTCTCAGGCCTTCAGGTAGGTCTTCATCTCCAGGGTCCTCTTCGACCATGTGATTGAACTCTCTGATCTTCATGATCAGATACACCTCGATGCCTCTATCGATCTCAATCATCTCCGTTTTGTACCTTTCGTACTCTTCTCCTTCGAGTCTGATGTATTCATCTTCGCCGTCTGCCTCCAAGTGTTCAGCAAGGCTTCTACGGTCGGTGTTCACCTCGCTTTCACTTCCTTCATCTTCATCTTCTTCACTTGCAGACGTGTCCTTTTCCATCCTCACCATTCTCACACGCACTTCGGTCTCATGGGTGTATCCATCATCGTGTGTATAGGTGCTTCTTCTCACCTCTCGGTCTTGTTCTTCTGCCTCCTCTTCGATCTCTTCACACCATGGTGGGCCAACCACATCTCTGAAGCTTAGGCCGGAGTCTCCAGCCCAGTTGACCCACTGTCGAGGCTCTGTTTCATCCTCTGTTTCATCATTCCCATGTCTCGTCTGATGACCTGATGGCCAATTCGACCAATTCTGCAAATCTGTTGCTTCTTGCCATCTTCTGGGAGCGTTCCACAAACTCAAGTCAATCCTCTCTTGGTCTTCATCTGACGCGTAGTTCTCTTCTTTGCCAACTACATTGCGACGTGTGTCCCAAGAGTTTACATGTCTGGACAACGATGCTCAGGATCACAATTGCAATCGTTAGTCCCATCACCACTTGCTCAAGCGTCTCTGTTCCAGTGACCTTTCTCCCCAGCAGTCCATCTGGCTGAGGCTGTGGCTCATCTTCTGGAAAGCACTGATCTTGTTCTTTCACCGCAACCAGGCCCAAGGCTGAGTCTGCTAAAAGTGCTTCATTGTGAGCCGCAACAATCTCTTGGCCAACTGTGGTTCAACTGTGTTGACTTCTCTGGGCTCTCATCCTCTGCGCCGCAAACTCTGCTTTGCCTAGGTCGTTCTCCCCATTCGTGAAGCCGCTCAAGAACATCAACGTGTTCACTCTCTTTCCTGTCAACGACTTCGTGCCTAGGTCTGACGGGTTTGTGGCTGTGTCCAGCTTCCTCAATTCTAGATCTCTCCCTTGCCTCTGCTGCAACCATAGGAGTGGCCTGGCCCACTTAGGTGTTTCAACTTTCCAACACCTCCTCTCTGCGCTATTGCAAGGCTTGAACTGTTGTCATCGTAGACAACCAACACCACCTTCTCTTGGGTGAGGTGCTCAACCACCGCCTTCAGCGACAAACCTTCTGACGCACTTGACGCCAGCGCAACATACTCTGACTCCATGCTTGACAGCGTGATGTTCTTCTGTGTCCTTGCGTAGGCATGGATCCAGCTTCCAGCCAAGAAAATGTACCCTGATGACGTTGAGCTCCTTGTTGCCTTGTTACCTGACCAGTCTGAGTCGCAAGTGACTTCCAGCAACCATGCATCTTCCTTCTCCTCAAACATCGGTGCTGTTGTCAACCCTCTTGCTCTGTTCCTGAACGAGTTGTTGTTCACCTGGCTTCTCGCGACAACATGTGTGTCCATAGTCATTCTGGCCTGTCTCCTGCTTGCCATGTAGAGCAAAGTCCCCACCGCGGACCGGTAGGTTGTCCTCCTCTCATCATGCTCCATCGACCTCCACTGTTCCTGGTGTCTTTGACCATCTCAGAGGGCTCATCAATTTGACCAAGTTGTGGATGAACTTCTCGTTCACCATGATCTTTGTCGTCGAGGCATCCACATTGATGGTCCTCTTGAGGAAACTCAAGTTCTCACCCTCTTCGATCGACACCTTGTACCTCTTCATCAGGCGATCTGTGATCTTTGCGGTCGCTTCATTGGTCCCACCAATGATCATGTCTTCCGCATGGACCAGCAAGATCAACAGTTCTCCTCTCCACAACGTTTCACCTTCTTTGGCTGACTGCGCATCAGGTGGGCATCTTTCACAGCCATCGTGATCATCTTCCAGCCGTTGACTTGGCAGATCAGGCACCTTTCTTCGTGACCAGGGTGGACGGGTAAGGGAAGTCGAGAACTGTGGGAAGGAATCCTTGTAGGTCTTGGTGGCATTGCTCACTAGGAATGGCACTCGCCGATCTGTGGTCAAATGCCAACCTGCCACTTGAACTAAGTTCTTGAGCAATCCCTCGAACTCCATTGCGACTGCCCTCACCTGGTTCTCCTCTTCTTGCCGTCCATCTGCGGCCTCAACTGCTAGAATTCGTGCTCCAGCAATGAGAGAATTGTTCCTGAACTGCAACCCTTTGCTGAACATTCCGTGGGTCAGGCGAACCAGCAGCTTCCCCATGCCAGCAAAGGCTCTGGCACGTTTGACAGCGCAAAGCTCTCTCGAAGTTGCACCATCTGGCCCTCGTCGTCTCCGAGGATGATGTGCACACTGTGCGCCTGGCGCATTTATAAGCCTCCCCTCATGAGGCCTCCCTTGTCCCGGAGCGTGCTGGTCCTGGACAATGGCGGCCGACCAACACCTTTGAAGGACAGTGGCAGCACTGAAACGTCCGCTCCAGCGTTCAAGACGACCGTCACCTCAGGGTCATCCTGGATGCTCCTCACACTCGCCATCAGCGGACGCTCTGGCTTCCTCCAACATGAGTCAGGTCCTCGAAGCTTCGCTTCCAAGGGTGGCCCAATCCTCATCCTCATGCTCCTGCCTTCACCATCTTCACTGAGCTCTCTGCGAACTCATCCTCCTCATCACCCAGGATCACTGTTTCAACTCCCCTCACAGCAGGTCGAGGCCTGGGCTGTGCTAGCAGAGTCATTGACTGTCTGGGTGACTGTGCTTGTGGCATCACTGACCTGTCGCAGTGTCTTCATTGGGCATTCACTTTCCCCTTCCCTTTTCCATCCTTTCCTTTCTGCTGCTTGCCCTTGCCTTTGTTGTCGAAGCCTCCATAGGACCCTTGACCTTTGCCTTTCTGTTTTCCTTTCCTTTGGACTTTCCTTTGTCTTTTCCTTTTCCAATCCTGTCGATCTCCATGGGAACTGTCTCATATAGTCTTTGTTGTTGCCAGCTCTCTGTAGATGGCTCGCGGGCCCCAGGACGTGGTTGTCCTCTCGTAGCTCAACCTTCTCCCTTGCTTCCTTGTAACTTGTTGCATCTGCCATGTGCAATTGGAGGTGTTGAATGGCCTGTTGCTGAACGCTCACCAAAATGGCGCAGAGCTTTTCAGACCTCTTCTTTTCTTCTTCACTCGTTGCTGCCATGCTCATCGCAGGCTCTGAGCCTTCAACCGCTTCCAGCTCCTTTTCATAGGTGAAGGCTAAACGGAGGGTGTGTGGAGAAAGGGGGGCAGCAAAAATCGCTTATACGAAGTTAGTGCACCAAAAATAGCTTCCACGAAGTTCTGCGAAGGTTTCTGGGATTTCGTCGCAGTCAGTTCTCCTACTGGCCCACCATTCCACGAACTGTCCACGAACAGCCTTGGGTTCTACGAAGGTCACGCGCCTTCCACGACGTTAGTAGAATAGGTTTTTGCAAAACCCTTTCTGCGGACTACCCTTCCGTTTGCCTTTGAACAGGCCTGCCCTGCAAAACAAAGCCATGACTTGAAGCTTAACTTCCAGTCTTGCCACTGACTGAGCTCTTCTTCCATGTTTGCTGGGCTGAATGGCTCTGGTGCCTTCACCACTTTTGAGGCTGTTGCAAAACCTTTGCCTTCCTTTCTCTCAGTCCTTTCTTTCACCTCTTTCAACGTCCTAATGGCTTCTTGAGCCTCTTTCCCCTCTTTTCTTCTTTTCTCTTCTTCTTCCTTTCTCTTGGCCGCTCGGCCCTCCCTGGATCTTTCACTCGGCGCCGGGGGTATCTGTTCCGAGCCCCCCGGTGGCTCCGCTACCATGCAAAATGCCACGGGCGCAAACATGTGCGGTCTTTTCCTTGGCACCTCGAGCCTACATGCACAGGTCATGCGCACGTCTAGTGTCATGTTAACACCTACTGTCATGATTGTAGTCTGGCCAGTGATGTTATCGATGTGACGCGCGCCCCCATGTGGGCAACTCCCTGGTCAGACTTCTGGGGCCCCTGTGATGTGATTCTCAAAGCAACTATGTACCTCATCACAGCCTCATGTAGCTTTGGATTGTCCAGTCCAATTTGCTCTGTTCTAAAGCGATCATATCATATTTGCATCTGCTTTGATATTTTGTCTCTAGAAACATATCCTTTTCTTTCATCCTCTGAAGCCTCCGCCCCTCCATAATTACTTTTGTCAGTCCACATGTTGTTCTAGAAAACTTGAACACATCTTCGCAAATTATTTGTTCTTCTATAGGGGTCTCTCTTCTTCGTTGCAAAAAAGGGTCCATTTCATCGGTTTCTCACGGTTTTTCATTCAGGGCCCTTAACTTGCGCAACCGTGACTCGGGCAACGTCTACCACATATATATATATATAATTATAAACGCGTCACGTCTGCACTTTTCTCGGAAGCGCCACGCGACATGACTCTGGTCCTTGAGTCACTGGGCTGGATTACAAACATTACCAACACGTACTTGTCGCTGCAACGTGTTACAACATGGCACCCCATCCGCAAAAATTTCACAATAGGTAAAAAACGGTCTCAAAACCAACTCGCGCAAGGCTAAACCATGATAGGATCCATCTCCCTCAAACTTTGACAAGCGCGTTCACTGACTGCGCAACGGTCACTGGGCTCCCCACATATTCTCTCTCAATGGCTGCCGCTTGGTGACAGCAATAGGCACCAACAGGATTCCAGCTGCTTCCATCGCGAAAGCCTATCCCTGAACCACAGCCCTGCAGCGTCTGATGGAACCAGAAGCCCTTGTAGTCACTCATCCAACCAAAGGCGCAAATCGCATAGCCTGGAGCTGTTTCCGCGACAGGTTTCTGAGTCAGACTGAGTGCGATGGACTGATGACATACAAGGAGGGGGATGGCAAGCGACAACTGCAAATATATAAGGAACACAAGAGCATAACGCGAAAATCGCCAGGTTTAGTTTTGAACGGCAGGAGAGGACAAGTGAGAAATTGTGTTGTGTTTGTATTGTGTTTGTCTCTGTCTCTCTCTCTCTCTCTCTTTCTCTCCCTGCCTCCTCCCTCTCCCTCCCACCCTGAAAACCACCAGAACGCGTCTCTTTTCCAAGTGCGTACTCGGGCCACTCGGGCCGTTTCAAGCAAAACCACAAGCGTCACATGTGGAATGTCTAAAGTCTCTGACGCCCCACCTAAAAGTGCCGATGTAGCTCTATCTAAGCGGCGCCATCTCTGAAGTACGCCAATCCTTCTCCTGCCGCAACAATCGTGAATGCGCCGTAGCCTGTGCGCTCGCTCTTCTTGGTTCCAATTCAGCATGTAGTTGAAAGCTATGCACGGTTGCCTTGCCATGTGGGTCAAAGCCCAGTCTCGTCTTGATGTACTCTGTCAGGATGTTCGGTTGGAAGATGCCTAGCTGTCTCACCTTCCTTGCTCTTCGTTCTTCACGGCTTCCTGTGCCGGAAGAGGTTCCAAAGTTGTCCCAAGTCCACGCCGGGCTCCTCTCGATGCCCTTGCCCAGCTTGTACCCGCAAAGGCTCCACGGTTAGCAAAACATTGGGTTGCTCGTGCTCTGGAATCAATCCGTGCAGTAGCACGCGTGCTTATTTGTACTGCCCATTCTTGAACGTCCAAGCCAGGCCCAGGCTGCTGCCCAGTCTGGTTAAAAAGAACCTACGAACCCTCCTGTAGTAAACGCCAAGTCTCACACTCTTGGCATATAGCCAACAAATATGCCAAAGACAAACGCGAAGACCGTGTAGATGAGACAAAGTCTCTCGTTCTCTTCGCATACCTCCCTCCACCCTATACTGGGATATCTCATTTTTTCGCAAAGGTAGCGGTTGAACTCCAAATTCACTCTGTCATATTCTGAGCGATTGCTGACCCAGAACATTGGTCGCCTCTAGCCACCTGCTACAAGTGACTGAAGAGTCTGTACACATCAGGCCTCACGAGTGTCACTGTATGTTCACAGGTGAGGGTGGGTGGGGAAAAGAAATAAAACCAGGTGGAGGGCCTTGAACCAAAATGGCCATACATGGCCCCACCCTCCACCCTGGTCACTCGTTTCTGTGTCTGACTAAATTCTTTAGTTCAGACAAAGTCTCTCGTTCTCTTCGCATCCCTCCCCTACTGGGATATTTCATCTTTTTCCCAAAGGTAGCGGTTGAATTCTAAATTCAACCTGTCATATTCTGAGGGATTGCTCACCCAGAACATTGGTCATTGGTCGCCTCATGTCGCCTCTATAGCCACCTCTACTGACTCTGTCGCGGTCCAATGTAATAGGTCTCCTCTCTCCTTCATCAAGGCTCTAACTTATTTCTGCTCATCCCTCGTAGGACGCTCTCGCCCTAGTCTCCCTTTACCTCGAACTTTGACCATCAGGCTCTCCGAAGCGTATGCCTTACCTAAGCTTGCACTTCCGCCGCTCTTTAGGAGGCCACTCGCTCAGGTCCCACAAGGGAGTTCCTTCTGTAGTCCCTCGCGCTTCTTCTTCTTCTTCTTCTTCTTCGGAAGTCTTCCTTCTTCTTTACGCCTATTACTTCTCGACCTTTTCCCTCTCCGGGCAGGTGAACCTTCCCTGAGTTTCTTCTGGTTGTCGTACCTAAGTACGGGGTCTCAACGATGTCAAACTCCCACACCTCCTTGAGTGACAGCTAAGGCTCTGAGGTTGTCGCCTACTTAGCTTACGTTAGCGGGGGTTTCCCCGTACCTATAAGTCCCTCTATTCCCTCTGTCGACTTCGATCTGCGCTCGTCTTTGCAGATCTGGGGGCGTCGACCCACTGGTTCCCCTTGAGCATTTCCATGATTGTTTCCTTCCTTCTGTCGATCTTGTTCTGTGGTCGACGTGTATCTCCCCGGGGTGGCATTCAAGTACATCTGCCCCCTATAGCTTGTTAAATCGCAGCCCTATTGAGTGCGACTGTCGGGCTGGCTTCCGTGCTGCAGCTGGTCCTCTTCAGCCAAGTTGTTGTTGACCCGCCTAACCATCCTTTTCGCTGGTCACTGTAGCTGCTACGAGCGACACCTCTTTCTGTCGCCGTTGTCACAACGATCCGTACCCTGACCACCCTGCTTCTTGTCCTCCCGCTGAGCCCCGGCAGTACATGCAGGTCCTCCTGCGCCCTTCGACAGCTCAGGGAGATTGGTCTTGTGTACCTCAACGAACGGTGCCTCCCTCACTGTTTGCCTTGCCCGCATCCCTGTCCTTGCCATCCTGTTGAGCTCCGGTGGCGATGGACAGGTCACCCTGCAATTCAAGACAGAAAGAAGTCTCGTACACCCCAACGAACGGCGCCTCCCATCAGCAGCCGGCATGCATTCCTGTCGAAATTCAGGCCGCCTAAACGGTCTTGTGCACCACGACGAACAGTGCCTCCTACTCCTGACCCCGCTACTTGACACTGGATCCATCTTTGCTGACTCTGGCAGTGCTGTCTGCATGAGGCAGCCTCAGCAGGTTTCGTGGACCACAACGAACAGTGCCTCCTATCTTCTGACCCCGCTGCTTGACATGCGCCGGATCCAGCCTCGCTGACTCTGGCAGTGCTGTTGGCCCGACCACAGCTTCAGCCTCGCTGACTCTGGCCATACCATCTGCACGAAGTTTCACCTCCGCTGTCCTTATAGCCTTCCTGGCCTCAACTTGCTACGTCTTCTGTTTGTTCTCCTCCATGTCCTCCGTGTTCCTTCAGCCATGTTCCTTCAACAAGTTGCCCTTTTCCACCTCACTTGGCTGCGCCGTGACTCTAACCACGCGCCGCTCATGGAGGGAGGTCACGTACGCGCGCTCGGCCGCCCCGCCCGATCTTGCCCTAAGGATCCCAGAAGCCACTTTTAAAAATAGCTTCTGGTGGAAGCTAAGATTTTAGGCTGGCAGCCATGGAAAGTGGCTTCCGGGTTTTGAACTCTAGAAGCTACAAAAAGTGGCTTCTGCAAATCAGCATGCGCATCTTTTTCCTTGGCACAACTGTGTGAGACAAGGTGAAACATATTGTACCTATGGTTGCATGGCCTTCTTTCAGGCTGAAGCTGGACATCGGATTTGGGCCTTCTTCAGGCTGAGCTGGGCAAGTTGACATTCAGAGGGGGTGTGTCATTCATGAAACAAAGGAGGGTTTTCTCTGCTTCACTGCTTGCATTTCTCTTCCCACCCCTTCTGAGTGCCCACTGCTGCATGCAGGCTAAATCAAAAATATGCTCAGCCAAGTGCCACTTAGGCTTGGCATGCCAGGAACAAACATCATTTTCATCTTCTCTTTGAATGTGAGATTCCATTGCCATGTACTGGCTCTTCAATGCCCTTCCATATTTGGCCAGCTTCCTGCCATTGAAAGCTTCCACGTGCTGATAGACTTGGGTGGTGAAGGTGGCAACTTTGTGGATTGCTTTTTGCAGGCTGGTGCCTGTGTCAAACTCGTGTGCACTTGTCAAAGTGCTCAAAATCCCCTGCCTGCAGGTTCAGGGGCCTTCCCAGGCTGTTTGGGCAATTGTGCACTGGCTGGGACAGTCTGAATATGTGCCCACAATCTGCTTGCTTTTTCTGGCTTCTTCCCTTCATAGCAGGGCAACAAAGCGTTCAAAACTTGCCCTGCACAGGCTGCACCACATCCTTCATCCATGACACGCATCCAATCAGGGACTATGGTGTGGTTGGTAATTGGGTTCACATGGAAAAGTGGCGCTATGGCCTTTTTTCTCTATTCCAGGCTTGCCAGAAATTGGGCCTTGTCCAGGCTTTGGCTCTTTCTCTGATCTAATGTTTGGCATCTCCACTCACCTGGCTTGCAGGAGCACAGCCAACACATTCCTACTTTGACATTGTGCATAGGACAGCCATACCATTTTACATTCCAATCCCAATCTCCTCGCATCATAACTACAACAGCCTTGCGCAGGCTTTTGCTAATTCTTGTCAATCGAAAGGATTCTTCGAAAGGAGCACCATCATGCCTTAATGCAGGCTGCATTCCCAATACCAAATGTTTCAGGCTCCAAGCAAGAACTTCCAAGATGGCCTGCGTGGTCTCTGGCCTTGCAATGAATTTGGCATCAACGCAAGTAAGGGGGACTCTAATGCCTTGAGGCCAAGAGGTTGACAGTGATGAAATCCAAGCTAGATTGGTTCATTCTGCCTTGCAGCACAGGCACTCCATCACCATGAATACCTGGAGGCACCATGCCTTGCGCAGGCTCACCGCAACCTGCACAGCACTGGGCCAACTTTGCGCAGACTCCAGCCTTCTCCAGCTTCTGCAGCTGATAGCGCACATCCTTCCAAGCTTCCCTGTCAGGTGCCTCATAATGGCCTTCTACAGGCTGACTTTGGGCCTTGGCCTTGGCCCTGGCTTTGGCCTTGGGCTTGGCCTTGGCTACAGCTTTTGGTGAAATTTTTCATTCTGATTCTGGGTGCTTGGGGTGAGCCCCTTGCAGAATCCTTGGTAGGGGTGCCTTCCTCAGGCTTGTCTTTGTGAGGAGTGGCTGTCTCTTGCTTCACTACAATGGTGCCTTGTTCAGGCTTGGTCCGCCTCTTTCTAGGTGGCGTGGGTGCCAGGTTTGGTGTGTTTGTGCTTGTTGTGTGGCGTTGGTTGTTTGAAGGTGCTGGTGTGTTGGTGGTCCTTTTCTGGTGTGTTGGTGGTCTGCCCTTGATTTTTCAAAAGCTGCAGCAGAGATGCAAAAAGTAAGAAAATTTACGAAAAAGTACTAAAATCGTACTTTCGTACTTTTGTACTTTTTATACATTTCCTTTTAATTTAAAAGGAAATATATAAAAACATAAAAAAGTACAAAAGTACGAAAGTACGATTTTCGTACTTTTTT